GGGCCAAACCGCAGCACGATTTTTTTACCCCCCAGCTACTCGTTAACACGCCGCCGCGGCGCTGCCTCGCAATCACACCGATTGCCTTCCGGACATCTCGCATCTGCGCTCAGGGGCCTCCCTGAACCTTCCTTTGCTTAGTAGGGAATGAAAGGGGCCTTATAAAGGGTTCTATAAGGGTTAGCATAAGGGATCTATAAGGGTACTATAAAAAAAGGCCTTAATAATCCTATAACTTACCTTTGGTTAGTAGGGAATGGAGGAATGGGGTACAATTATAACTACTATGACTACCATTCTTCCATTCCCTATCAACCAAAGGTAGGGTTCTAAACCTCTCTGTGTGCTTTTTTGCACTGCAGCCCTCCGTGAAGAGACGAAGCCGGAAGGTAGAACCTTCTATACAAGCACTGTGCTCCTACTTGGAGGTTCATAGGTCGTTATAAGTAGGGTTGAGTATAGGGTAACTATACTTGCAACCCAGATTAAGGGACTTATAACCCCACTTATAACTACCCATGAACCTCCAAGTATACTATAGGAAGTAATAGGAAGACCCATGACAACCCTCACGTAAGGCGAAGACAATTGCAGAGCCTCTAAAAGCTGACGGAACCTGCAGTAGAGTGTAAAACAACCTGAGAACCACAAGCAAAACTGAATCTGAACAAAATTAAGCCGTTCATGGCTACAGGCTCTGCGCGATGATACTGGCGGTGATGATGACTATGGCTGGCTGTTGTCTTGCCCCACCCTTCGCACAAATGCTTGTCCAGGGTGAAACTCCACAACCGTCGCTGGGCAATGACAGGCGAACTTCAAACACCGTCAACTCCATCAGTGGGTGGATCCACTTTCAAGGCGTTGTGCAGCAACTCGAATACAAGGGGCCTTAATAAGCAGCATAGGGTTCTATTAGTTATTATACTATAATTCTAACAAGGAGCCCCCGAACAAGAATTGCTCAGCATTTCGGCCCGTATCTAAAGTAGCAATTTGCCAGTCCTAGCAGCCGAAAGCCTCGATAAAATCACACCATGTCGCCCTGTTGTGGGTGGTTGTCAAAATAGGGGTCCCTTTTTGGGTACCTTAAATAATGAGTGCCGTAATACAATAGAGATCCGAAGAGGGACCATACTTTGGACAACCACCCTTGTCGACTTTGAAGGGGCCACAGGAGCTACCAACGCCATCAACCAATGCTCAACCCCTAAGACTCCATGTGCCCATATAGTAGATACTTAGGCCTTAAAGGGGTCTCTATATAGGCACTTTACGGCCTAAAGTAAAAGCCAGAAAGTTGGTATTATCCTAAACCCTTTATGGTAAATTATAAGGTATCCTACCCTGGAACCATATTCCAACTTTCTGGAGTTCCCTTTAAGTACCTACTATACGGGTACATGGAGCCTTTGGGAAAACAACGACTTCATGACACCGGCTCCTTGCCTGCGGGCCTTCGGGATCTCCTTTAAAGGGTTACTAAAAGGGTTACTATGAGGGTCTCCTTTAAAGGGCTACTGAAAGGGTTACTATTAGGGTTCCTTTAAAGGGTACTAAGGGTTACTATACGGGTTCCTTAAAAGGGCTACTATGAGGGTTACTATGAGGGTCTCCTTTAAAGGGCTACTATAATGGTTACTACGAGGGTCTCCTTTAAAGGGTACTGAGGGTTACTATGAGGGTCTCCTTTAAACGGCTACTATGAGGGTTACTATGAGGGTTCCTTTAAAGGGCTACTATGAGGGTTACTACGAGGGTTCCTTTAAAGGGTACTAAGGGTTACTATGCGGGTCCCCTTTAAAGGGCTACTATGAGGGTTACTATGAAGGTTCCTTTAAAGGGCTACTATGAGGGTTACTATGAGGGTCTCCTTTAAAGGGCTACTATAATGGTTACTACGAGGGTCTCCTTTAAAGGGTACTGAGGGTTACTATGAGGGTCTCCTTTAAAGGGCTACTATGAGGGTTACTACGAGGGTCTCCTTTAAAGGGTACTAAAAGGGTTACTATGAGGGTTCCTTTAAAGGGTACTAAGGGTTACTGCGAGGTCTCCTTTAAAGGGCTACTAAAAGGGTTACTATGAGGGTTCCTTTAAAGGGCTACTATGAGGGTTACGATGAAGGTCTCCTTTAAAGGGTACTAAGGGTTACTATGAGGGTTCCTTTAAAGGGCTACTATAATGGTTACTATGAGGGTCTCCTTTAAAGGGCTTTATAAGGGGCCGAGCTCCGGTGTTGAAGTGAAGTGCCTGAAAATGCTCGGCTATATACACTCCGACGAGTTGTGATTACCCGCCAAACAACATATGAGGGTTTCGATTGCCTGTGGCAAACAAGCCTTGCTTTTCTTTTCCCTTCCCTAAACCCTAGACCCCCAGCTTGTGGGAACCCTCATAGTAACCACCTAAGGAACCCTAAACGGCCCGAAATCCTCAACCGTAAACCCCTACCGTCATAAACATAACCATAATAGCTCTAAAGCCCCAAACCCCTACCTATAGTAACCCTTTGCTTATATGTTCATCGGACTTAGTAACTAGGGTTATAATTAAGGTAACTACACTTGTATGTACTTATAACCCCAGTTAGGGGTACTGGTAACTGTACTTACTAAGTCCCATGAACCTCCAAGTAAGGAACCTTAAAGCCTGGTTTTTGATACCTAAAACGGCCCTAAAGTCCTATAATAAGGTGTACTTGGACCCTCTGGGTAACCCTTTAAGGAACCTTAAAACCTAATACGCAACAGTTTGGGGCTTTTAAAGCCTTTGAAAAATATTTGTAAACAAGATCCTCTTTAGCCCAAAAAGGGAAAACATAAAATGTCCCAAAGCTCTACCTAGGCAAAATCACCGAATCCCTCATGTCCTGGTCCCAAGGCCCAAAGGCTCAAATGACCGGCGTCATACACTGCCTGAGCTTGCTTGGAGGTTCATTGGTAGTTCTAAGGGTTCCTTTAAGGGTCCCTTTAAAGGGATCTATGAAATTTCTATGAGGGTATAGGGTTTAGGGCCTAGTTGCAGGTTCATGGGTAGTTATGAGTAGGGTTAGAAGTAGGGTGTCTATACTTATAACCGATATGGGAGTTTCCCAAAACAGGGGACCCTAATATAGTACCCTGAATAGTAGGATCCTTCTTATAGGGACCCCAAAATAAGGTACCCTCAATTTTCGAGAAACTCCCATATTAGCGGACTTATAACCCACTTATAAACTACTCATGAACCTTGAAGTTCCGAGATCCCAGAGACTCCAATCTCCCCTATTTAAGGAATACCTAGGGTTCCTCTAAGGGATCTATATTAACTTAAGGTCTGTTCCTGAATTAAGAGGGATATTGGAGAGTTCAGGAATACCTAGGGTTCCTCTAAGGGATCTATAATATTTTTAAGTATATTCCTGAATTAAGGGATATTGGAGAGTTGAGGAATACTTAGGGTTCCTTTAAAGGATCTATATTAACTTAAGGCATATTTCTAAATTAAGGGATATTGGAGAGTCTCCGACATGTCGGCTCAGGGTTGAAGCTTCGGAGGATTGAGAGTAGACATGCATGGAGGGATTGTGGTATGTACAATTATCCCTGAGGGTCCATGTACCCATATAGAGATACATGGGGATTACATTAAGGCCAATGTATATACTATATGAGTACATGGACCCTTAGGGTATGGAACGACAAGTATGGTCATGATGTGGGTTTAATGAAGCATGTGTATATATATATATATATATATATATAGCGAGTATGATCGTTATATAGGTTTATACAAACCTTGAGCAAACAAAATACTGCTAAGGTTTCACGAGCCTTGCAATGTAGTATAGGGGCCTTACTAATGAGCAACGGTTTTGGGGCATATTAAACCCCAAAAAAGTATAGGTAATTTTTTAGGCCCTATAGTAACATCCGGCCGATGGTTGTGCGAGGTTCGCTTCAGGTACGGGTTGCCCAGGGGGGTTCGGGAGCCTTTCAGGTGAAGCACACCAACTGACCCACCAAAACCATCTGTTCAGGGTTTGGGGTATAACTTCCAGATCAAGGTGGATAAACGAACCTACAGAAAAGCAGGGTTGGTAGTTTCAGGTAGCGGTATCCCAGACCCAAGACCCTAAAGCGCTGGGTTTAAGCAACTTGCTTGCTGACCGAATTCCTGACTAAGCCGGGCTAGCCTTCAGCCACCAAGACAGTCTGGCTTCTTAGTAGGTAATGGGGGAAGGGATCCCTACAGTCGTCCCTGTATAATCCCAATAATCGTCTCCATAATCCATTCCCTCATTCCCTACTAAGAACCAGACGGCCTACTAAGAACCTTAAACCCTAGAACCAAACAGAAATACTAAGATGCAAAAGACGTCAGTTGGCTATGTCTCGGCGATTTGGCTCTGAACTGGAAGATCTGCGCACACAACCTGACCTCAAAACCTGAACAATCCAGTCTCCATTGTGGCTCCTGTTTTGGTGACCTTCGTTACGGAACTGGTTGAACCAAAAAATGAACTGCATTGGAGACTACACGTATACCACAGAAACTTCAGAAGCACCAAGCCTAAACCCGAAAACGTGACCACGAGTGATCCCGGACAAGAGTCGAGAGAAGAACATCAAACAAGGAAGTCTGCTGTAGGTGCCCCAAACATACAACATACTACTTGAGCGATACTTTATTCAGACAAGGACTATCTAGCTAGCACTAATTCAGTAGGTGCTAACCCTTGTGTCTATAATGAATCTTGTCCGTAGACCATCGTGCCGATGAAGGCATTGGGCTAAAAACCTACAAGAACATGGTTTTGAACAGTGCCTGGATTTCGGGGCATTCGTCCACTCCCCTAAAGCCCGCAGACCAGTGGCTGGCTTTGCAATGCTCTTTTTGTCCCGGCGCTTGCTGCCAAATCGATCGTTGCGAAACCGTGACACACGTCTAGATGTGAAGCTTACGTTTTTGGGCCTTGGGTTTAGGGGTAATCGACAAAGTATCCGGCTGCTTCACTGCCACTACTTTCGCAGGACTTCGTCCATGGGCTTGCCCTTGGCAATCTCCTCCACGAGCTTGTCCAGAACGCGAACTTTGCGCATCACTAGGTCCTTGATTTCTTCAATCACGACGCCACAGATGGTCCCTGTGATCTTGGAGGCCTTGGGGTTGGGTCGGGGTGCCTGGTTGAAGAAGGTCTCAACATCCTTCTCGAGCTGGATCTGCTCCTTCAACTTCTGCGGGCTGTAGCCCGTCAGCCAGCAAATGGCCTGGTCCACGTCGCTCTTCTTACGCCCCTTCTTCTCGACCTTCTGCACATAAAGTGGATAGATCCTGGCGAAAGACATGCCGAAAACTCGAGGCTTTTGGCAAGCAGATCCCGGCTTGGCGGCATGAGGCTTTTGGGCAACCTCTTTGCTTGCAGGCTTCTTGCTGATCGTCTTCTTCGTCTTTGGAGCCATCCAGCTGCAAGTCTCGAGTATACCTTAACCAACCAGAACACTCACTGCCGGAGTTTATAGTCAGGACCAAAAAGAATGTGTTAGTGGGTTTAGGCGGGAGCCAGAAAGCTGGAACACAATCATCCTGATGCTGAATCGTCCTTTGTCCATGTTCCAGCATTGTTTCAACTTTATTTGGGTCACTGTATATATCAGAACAGATCAGAATATTCATAGAACAGCCTAAGAACAGAGTAGAACTGACTAAGAACAGAACGGAACAGAATAGACAACCTAAACCCTAGACCTCTAGGCCCCAAACCCTAAACCCTAAACCAATGGAACATAATACAATAAAATACGATGACATCCACCAGAGTCGAAACCCTTCACTTCGACTGGCAGCTTGAGCTACTCGAGGGCTGAAGCCACACATTGCAGCGGAAATCGGTGGGCAGGGGTTTAGGGTGTAGGGCCAAGTTTAGGGTTTTAGGGTGTAGATTTAGGGGTTTAGGGCTTAGGGAGTTTAGGGCTTTGGGTGTAGAAGGGCTGGCACATCAGAACGGGTTAACGGTTTTAGGGATTTTAGGGTTTCGGTTTCTGATAGCACAGGGCGTGAGATTGCAGTCATACGCATGCCACTACTGCACGAAGCCGGATATGTGGTTCTACCCGGAATCTGACACCCATACCCCCAAACCACTCCAGACCTCAATTCCCCAGGGCCGAAAGTTCCGAAAGTTAAACAGCACAATACGTGTTATTCAGTGTTCGGCGCAGCATGCGGGCTGGATCGTCAATCTGTTTAGATGCGCCGTATTTTTGATTCACCAGGAGCTTACAGCGACATTACTTCTATCCATCCGTTGAGGCACTTGTTCTCCCTTCGGCCAAGCATTAACAGGCTAAACTGACATGGGATTCCAGCAGGGCTCTTGTGGGGGCAGGACTGAGGGACTGAGGGGCCTTGTTGGGAGTCAAGACACATAACTCAAGGTTTAGGGTTTAGGGTTTTGGAGGCTTAGGATATAAGCCTTGCCACGCTCTGCAGCGGACATGAGCGGATCAATCTCCGGGTTCAGACGCATTCCCAATTTCCAAGAGTGAACTTCATGAACCCTCACCCCTAAACGCGAAACCTCATCGACAGGCGGAAACCAATGGTAATTCACAAGTATCACAACACGCTAGGCCGGTTGTGCCGGTGATGACCATCTTTGTTGTCGCGGATGAACAGTTCTGATTGTGCTGCGTGTTGTTTGTGGCGAGCCTAGATAGTGCTGGTATCACTGCGACCAATATGCCACTACTGAGCCCTTTGGAACAACAAGAATGCAAATCACGCACTGGATCGCATGCATACCCCTTTCAAGGAATACGAATATACTATCTGTACTATACTATTTATACCTGAACCCTGAAGCCTTGAGGGAATCCCGAGGTGGAGAGCCAGGCTGCCGTGGACTGTTGCAGGCCGTCACGACGCTGGGGCTATTCGCCCATGCGCCGGTGCCAAGTCCGCCCAGGGGGCCGACAGCCGGTGGCCTCCGGTAAGGGTTTTGTTGTAGTATTCTTAAGGGAGGGGGGTCCAAGGGGGGTCTATAGCCTAGTGATCCCTAATTCTCCCTAGTACTCCCTAAGGTTCCCTTACAGTCCCCTAAGGATTCCTTATACCCTCCCCCCTTGAACCACCCTCCCTTAAGGATCCTATAATTTTTGGAGCGCACTGTACTGTGAAAGACCGCAAAAAACGAAACGCGAAAGAAGACGCCCCACAAGAACCTGGTAACAACTCATAGGGTATGATAGCAGATTAGTCATCCATGCAGGGTCTAGTGAGCCTCAGATTCAGGAGCTTCGGCAGGGTGTTCGTGATCTAATATAGCGGCCTAAATAAGGACTATTTTGAGAGTTTTTGTTATGTTTATAGTATGATATACCCGCAAACCCTATTCTAAGAGCCGGGTGCTGACCTTTTGAGCGCATCAGAATTTGCCGATGCTCAGACATTTTGCCAGGACCGCCGCTGCAGGCCGCATCACCCAAACCCTATTCTAATTATTAAGGCCCCTATACTAGGACCCTGCACGTCAAGCCATGACGTTGCACCAGAGGGGCGCGTAAGATCTTCTGCAACACTGCTATGACTCCAAACCCCAGACCATCAGACCCAACCCTAGCATCCTCCATGGACGACAAGCCGATGTGACAGCCCCGGCGCCATGAGATCGCACCATAACACCAGGGTAAAAGTCACAAGGGTGAGGAAGGAAATGATCTTCTTATAGATCAACCCAATACCGAAATGTCCAACGTGATCCCGAATGACCTGCCCAAAGCCCGTAAACGTCCGTAAACACCCAAATTATCAAATATACCCTAGATTCGCACACCTTCCCTGTCTATGATCTCCAATGTGGCTCCTGTGTTGTAATTCCTGAGTATCTTAATCATAGTCTTGACAATGAAGATGGATACTGTATACGTTCACTCTTAACCACCCAAACCTTACCCTAAGGCTCTAAGGACTCGTATATTACGGCCTTTGAGCCCAAAGACCTAACCATATAAGGCTTTTGGGCTAATTTGAGGCTTAGGATTAGAAGCATCAAAAAACATCCTGATACTGTCAACCCCAAGCGTTAAACCTCGAATGTCAAGAGTAATGCAGGGCCTAGTAGCCATTGCTACTTTCGGGTTTCCTTCTTGTAGTCGTAGTATTATAACAAAGCCCAAAACCCTATTCTAAATGTATCTTAAGCCCCCTAAACCACCCAAAACCCAACACCCTGAACCCTACACCCACAGCCCCAAAACCCTAAGCCAGTCCAGCGCTCTTAGTCGCCAGCAGCCGCGTCACAGACGGCACCCCCGAGGAGGAAGGAGCCCCGAGCCTAAGCTTGGGGCCTTAATAATTCGACCAGGGTGCCTCTAAAGGTTCCGTTTGTCAGGGGTCCTTTCTGGGATCTAAAAGAGCGGATCCATGTAGTTGCCTTAATGACTAGCATAGGGTTTTGGGCGCGGATTTTGTTCTTTAGTCATATCAACGAACCCCCACAATAAAGTTGGTAATTACTTAGGCCCGTATATAAAGATTGGCTAAGGATGCCTTGAAACATGGGCGGGTTTCTTTCAGTTATCTATGGTTTTAGAAACAATTCAGGCTCTAGCAGTTTAGGGTCCGAGCATTCCTCTACGAAAGGAGTCTTCGGGTTTAGGTTGTTTTACAGGGTTTTGGTTTAGGGGTTTAGGGTTTAGGGGTTTAGGGTTTAGGGGTTTAGGGGTTTAGGGGTTTAGGGTTTAGGGGTTTAGGGTTTAGGGTTTTTGGGCAGAGTTTAGGTTCTGGACCTTTAGGGATTGGACCAGGGTTCAGGGGTGTCAGGGCTGAAGATTCGGGGCTTTTGGGGTGAGGGTGTAGGGCTCGGGGTGCCTAGCGAAAGGGCCTTTCCGGCTTAGGTTTAGGAGTGGGGTTGGATGGTTTTGGGGTTCGGGGATAATTCATGCTTTTTGGGGCTTGCGACGGTGGGATTTCGTGATGGGGTCCTTGTCCACAAAGACTTCAGACGCCTCCGGGAGCAAAGCCGAAGCCTCAAAAAGGCTGCCTTCCAGGACAAGCTGGAACAGGCAGAATCTGCCGCCAGCAGTCAGGACGCACACGTCTGAGCATGCGCGCAACGACATGGAAAGACACATGCAACCAGGTGGCCACTGATCCTGTTGTATCTCGTCTTGCAGTGGTTCATCATTGCCGCGCTGGCACTGTCGAAGGCCCCGTCCAGGTTGCCGCCGTTCTCCTCTCCGTTTGCCCTCTGCGAAGAACACAAACTCCCGTGCCATATCCGACCGCTCCGCGGCCAAGGCGGCCATCACCATTTCTGATGATATAAAAAGTCGCAATGGTATCCAGTTCAAACTAACTCCCGAAGGCGAGCACTGTGTGCTTCAGGCTTCAGGAGGCAAGCCTTCCGTGAGCTATGGCTTCAACAACTACCTTCTTACAAGAATCTAGAAGTCGCCCAAACCCCGAGATCCGTGCAGTACCCTTCTTCTATCCCTTGTGGGACTGCAGTCAAAGTTGAGGACTCAAAACCCGGTGCAATGAGATGCACGCCAGCCCGTCAACCTGCGATCCTGAGCCACTGCACCATGAGAATCTGGACTCCCTGCATTATGGAGTATGCCTAAAGGCTGCAACAGAACTCCTCCTTTAATCAAAAATCGAAGGAAATTACTCCAAATCCTGGTCCTTCTTACATCGCAGGGTGAAGGACTCAAGTTCTTGGTATGCGGCGACATGGGAGACATGGACAACGGAGCCGTTGCTAAAGGCTGAGGCGACAAAGCTCGCGAGGACAAAGGCCTTGTCTTTTTCAGCTGGAAGGTTGAGAGGCGGGTGTCAAACCCAGGATGCATAATATCCCGATATTAGCATGGCCTCCAAGCCCGCAATTTCGCCCACTGCAAATATCTTGGGGGGGCCTAAGTACAACCGGAACCATCTCAACCAAGTCACCAAAAAGCCCTTCACCCCTGAACCCCCCAAAAATATCGAGCCTGTGGTTTCGTATGTGGGTTGCTGGGGAAGAAGACCCCTGGTGCGTCGGTTGATTGATTTTTGGGGGAGTCCCTATGTCCAGGAATATGTGTAACCAGACTGCAATACTATGTAACATGCTACCATGTACTATAATTCCTAGGTCCCAGGTACCGAGACGTCTGTGCCTGATCAGGGCCTGGCACTAAGACCACAAGGTATCTTCATGATTGCATCAATGTGCCCTTTTGCCGAATGCCTCAACGCCTACATTCTGCAAATCCCCGGGCATGGCCCTTAATACTAAACCACACTAAAATATAAACGCTAGACCCTAAACTCTAAACCCTAAATCACTCGAAACCCATATCCCAAGCCGAAATAATCAATTGATGCAACCACCCACCTCCAGGAATTTAATATAGGTGCCTTAATGATTAGAATAGGGTTTTGGGGCCCTTACGCTATGATAATAACAAGGAACCCT